TCGTTAACCCTAATAATAATAATAATAATAATAATAATAATAATAATAATAATAATATAGATCGAACCACAAGCCACCAATAGCAGTGATATCATTATTCCTCGGAGCGCTAAGATTCGCTCCAATCACCTGTAGTTGCTTCACTTCCGACCACGAGCGAGAAATGCTCCAAGAAAGCAATCGAAAATGCCCGCCTCCGCTGCTACCACCGGTTCCGCTCCAATGATGATGATGATTATGATCATTAGTTTGATCGAAGAATTGGTTTCGATGACCGATAATGGATCTAGATTCTTTGTCATCGAGCATCAAGAGGGTGAGATCCGTTAGCACTTTCTTCGCTCGTTGGATCTGACCCTCACCGATTGACCTCTGATTGGCATCGAGAGCAGCGACGACAATCTAGAGATGATTCCTCCACTGATGGACCTAATCAATTCCATCGCGGATCGTATTATAGACATCAAGAGTCTTGACGGTCCTCTCGAAGTAATCGGAGATGAATCGATTAAGAGGAGGTTTCAATAATAGAGATCTAGAATAGGAGTTGGGGAATGGTGGTTGAGATATAAAAATAGGGTTTTTGAATGAATACACGGGTGATGGGACTAATAGTCCCGTGTATATTCTGAGTTTAATCACATTTATAATTAGAAATTGCTAATTACATGGGACTAGTAGTCCCGTGTATTTTGAAGATGATTTTTTTTAAATCGATCTCTTTTTGACAACCTTGGTGAGGTGACCAAAAAGAGGTCGATTTTGCTCATTATTAAGGAAAAACGGTTGATTTTGTTATTTATGTTTTAAAAATAGTTTTTTTTAATTCTCCTTTTAAAGATATTTTTATGATTTTTCATTTAACATGCATCATTTTATTGTTCATTTAATATGCGTGATTTTATCTTCGTTTATTCAAAATTGGTTGGCTATTATATATATTTCAATTTGAGTAATCACATAATTTTCATAAATATGCCACTAAGAAGAGTCTTTTTTCATATTTCATCTTCATATTGTTTTAAGCTAGTATTTAGATATACACTTTTGACGGTATTTATATTGGAGTATATTGAAATTCTACTTGTTGTCTTTGCAGTAGTAATTTACATGGAAAAGAACTTTATAATTTCATAATTATATCTTCTTATAATATACAATGTAATAAACATTTAATTTGTAAGTTCCATTATAATATGCTTTAGAAAGTTCTGTTAGACCCTAGAGGGGGGTGATTAGGGTCTTATGCTAATCTAATCCGATTTTATGCTAATAAAAATTAATTAACAAGTTATTCTAGTAAGTATGAAATACAACAAGATATATAAGCTAGGATAAGCAATATGAACAAAGAGCAATATCCTAGCAAAGAGATATATATATAGAAAAATATGCAAGGATATATAAACTAACACAATGGTGAAATAAACAATCTACAAAAGTGATAGGGCAATAGACAATGGCGATAAGAAAGAATAAACACTAAGCACACATAAAACGCCAAAGCAAACTCAAACACAAGCAAATGATCACGGAGTTCGGACCTTCCGTCCTACATCTCCGCTCTCCACTTCCCGGGAGAAAACCACTAACACAACCGGGTTTTCTACGCTCACCCGAATAACGTTTACACCTCACAATGTCGGTTTTCAACGCTCACCGATCAACGTTCACAATCACTCACAATGTCGGTTTTCAACGTTCACCGATCAACGTACACAATCACTCACACTCGGTTTTCTAGCTAACCGAAAACTTTATAATCTCACAATGTAACAAATACAACAATGGTTGTTCTCTACTATGGATGAGAACTCAATGTAGGCTCACTCTCAATTGTTATAACTCCCCACAACCTAATTTATACTAAGTATGAAAATACAATAAGCTCAATGGTCGTGTGTGTAAGCAATAAGAAAAAACAATCAACTAAACTCAATTAAATTCTAGCATATAGAAA